TGTTACAAACTAGTTAGAGAAGACCAGCAGGCATTGGGCGAGTCCCTGTTCCCCTGAGCACTACCAGGAGTGAGTAGAAGCTGGCAAGCTGGCAAAGGGTAAATTCACAAGTTGGCAGAGGGTAAATTCAGATTAGACATCAGGAGGCACTACTTCACTGTCAGGGCGGCTAGGATCTGGAACCAACTTCGAAGTGAAGTGGTGCTGGCTCCTACCCTGAGGGTCTTTAAGACAAAGCTTGACAATCACCTTGCCGGGGTTGTTTGACCCCAGTACTCTTTCCTGCCATGGCAGGGGGTCGGACTTGATGATCTAGTCAGGTCCCTTCCGACCCTACTAACTGTGAAACTATGAAACTTAGGTTTAGCTAAATTATAAGCACCTGACCACAGGGGCTTTCAGAGTGTGCATTCTGGTGAGACCTAAGAATGTCTTTCATTGAATAGCTTGTCTAACTCTATCCCAACTACAAAATTGGTCCAATACAAGATATCTGTCTAAGAAATCCTTGTCTCCTGTGTAAAAATAGACATACATATCTGTATATCTATATTGAAGCTGCACTGCATTTATGAAAGCACTAAAAATAAAAAGGAATATTTCGATTGCAGTAACATGGAATTGGACATAGCACTAGGGATGTTTATGCACAGGCAATCTTGTAAATGCCTCATGGACTTATTTGTGAAACTGCACAAAGACAGAGAAGCACATAACAAGTCTTCCAGGCTATGAAACGCCTTAAATGAAATTGACAGCAGGGATCCTAAGTAAAGTCTTTCATCCCTTCCCCAAAAATCTTTATATGGACAAGGCTGAAAGCAACTCTATCTCTCGTTGCAGAAAATGGCATTGCATTTTACCAACTACAGATATAGTTCCTTTGTTTTTGTTTCATCTTTACCTACCTTTCAAGGTTTGTTTATGTACAAAATTTGTATATCTATACCCAAAGGGCCTGGATGCATTCTCTAATTGCTAACGTAGATAGAATTTAGATATATATAGCCTCCATGTACCTGAACTGTGTCTAGTATATATAGCCTCCATGTACCCTAGTATCTTGAAATGCTGGCAGTGGCAGCTCCCGCCCTGGCTCCAGGTTCAACTCAGGGGTGGGCACCAGAGCTGCTGCTGCTGCAAATAATGCTGCTTGGCTAGGAGGAGGCCAGAACCACCATGTGTTTTATGGGCTAGGCTGGAGCAGGTCCAGGGGCAGACCCATGACTAAGAGTAAGCAGCAGTACAGGGGACCAGGTTGGGGAAACGGGGTCATTTGACAGAGGGAAAGACTCCAACAGATACAAGCACTGCTGGGGAAGGGGCAGGAGGGAATGGGGCATGGAGGGCAAGTGTTTGGGGTCAGGAGGGAGGGGGGGAAGCTGC